GCTCTGCTGACAAAAAAATTAGTTCGGTTTCTTTTGGGTACCCCACCGTACATGGTTACCAACATTTTGAAGCAGCTTTCTGCCTTCACTTTCAGAGTTAAGTTGGAAGTTGGTTATTAAAGTTTTGGAGGAATCTGCTCCATTTTTCTTCAAAGCTGAGCAAGTGAGCTTCTTCTACCCTGAAGACAAAGGCTGTATGTTAGTTACCATGTCCCAGACTGTACGATGTCACATCCCAGAGGGCCATAACCTTGATATTCACATAATACATTCCTTGCTAGATAAATTTCATAGGTTTTACATCATCATCCTTAAGAAAGGCCATCACTGTACCCAGGGGACCACTCACAGTGATCCACCTTTTCTAACAGACCGAAATGAGCAGGTGCTTCCCCACTTATTCACCTGAGAATGGAAGCAGATCCAGTTTCTCAACCATGTTCTGTTTAGAATACTTGGTGATGGGTGAAGTCCAGAAACCCTGTAATCCAAAGTGTAATACAGTACAATGGTCAGAACCATTTAGAATTATTCCATAATGTCCAGCCATGTCTTCCTTACCTCAGAACTCGGCAAGTGAATGGAATGGCCGGTCCCTGGATCAAATATTTTAACTATAGCTCGACCAAGTGAAGTGGTCTGGTCAGCATAACACTGAAGGAGAGGAAGAGCCGGAATCAAACATTCCAGGAATCGCCGCCAGATTGGCTCCGGAAGGAGAAACTTGCCTTTCAATAGATGAATCAACATCTCTTCTGAATAAAGTTGTATCTATGAATGATAACAAGTTAGTGGCTACAATTGAAAATCAGTTAGGAAATGAGTACATTAGTGTAATAACTACAGAACATTCATTAAATTTTGTTTCATTATCTCAAACAACAAGACTTTCTTAATAAGTGAACTGGGCATAGCATGTGTTTCATTTTTCTCTGCAATTTTTGTTCAAAACACTTCTGACTCAGGTAAATATTTAGTGAGTTACATGAGAATCGCACTTTACATATGTATGTCGGCATTCCTGCAACATTATTACTAATTAGAATACGCAAACAAATTTTGGTGAACTCCCCAGTATCAAATTTCATCAAAATCCATGAACAGTTCTCATGTTTTTACATGCGGACAGACAGACATGATGAAGCTAATAGGCACATATCTGCAAATTTTGTACTGAATGCCCCAAAAGGATATCAAACATAAATGAGTCCAGCTCTCCTTCTTTGTCCATGCAAGAGAATGTACTCTCATTTCTCACATAATAAATTTAAAACTGACACAACATTCATCTGCCTTACTCTATCCATCCATCAATGCATTCTCTACAAAAGTATAGATATATAGCAAATACACTAACGGTGTAATTTCAGGTAGGAAATATCGCAGCACTTCTGAAATATTCAACGCATGCTCTGAGTTTCAACTACAGTCACAATGAAAAGTCAACATTTATCACCTGGGAATACAGCATTTAAATTTCTCATAGTATAGCACTATCAGCCAGGCTCTATTATAACTCAGGAATAATAGTGTTTGTATTGAAAAATGTGATACTCAACTAGCTGGACCTGGTCATGCACTGTCACAACAGGGTGAAGCATAGATGATAAATATTAGCAATACCCCCCAAGAAACTTTCTCAATTTCTCAGACCCATTAATACACGAATTCATTAACTGAATATTACTGAAGTGAGGAATTAGTGTACCGTGTACATAATGTACCAAAATCAGGATGATTTTCACTTGCACAATGGAAACAGTTCATCTTATGTTGATTCGAACCTTCTTCTCTAAGCTTGCAGCTCCATGGCTGATGATTTCTATTAAAACTGCAGTGTCAAACAAGAAATCTAGCTGTCTCAAACTGTCTGCAGATGTTCGTGGCACTTGCTGCACACCAAGTATCGCCACTACATACTTATGGCAACAGCCATACATTTCTAGTTTCACGTGAGGCTCAGAATGTGCCAGCAGCTTCAGGATTACTCCTGTCACAACCTTCCGATTGCTTTCGTCAAGAGACACACTGAAAGCCAAACAGCATCAAAATAATCTGATTAACAAACAATCTATTCTCAACTACAATAAATCCTCGTTAATCCAGTTACAGTTAACCCAGATGTTGGATAATCCAAATCAAAATATGAAAAATAAAAAATTCTCTTCACAGTTGTGTGTATACTTCAGAAGACTTGTGGGATTTAGCAGCAAGGGGGATTAAAGCAAGAGGACTTTCAGACTGCATTGAGGGCAGCTTGAGAGATTGGCTTGAGCTGGATGAAGGAAACCCTGAATTTCAGCTTCTGACAGAGGAAGGAACTGCTGCAGTAACGTTTCTTTTATTTATTTTCATCAGCACTACTTATATTAACTATTTTTCATGTATTTACTTTTAAGTTATGCTTTTTGTTTTTTATAGCTATCTTTTACTTCATTAATCTGGATTACTTGTTAATCCAGGGGGGCACACAGTAGTGTAGTTGGTTGAGGGGCTATGCTACAAGCCAGAAGGTTGCAGGTTCAAGTCCCAATGAGGTCAGTGGATTTTTTTCAATCGACCTAATCCTTCCAGCCGCACTATGGCCCTGGGGTTGACTCAGCCTCTAACAGAAATGAGTACCAGGAATTAATTAAATAATTTTCCTACTGAGTAAAGCGTGGCCGGCATGTAAGGCTGACAACCTTACCGCCATCTTTGAGCCAACTGTCTAGATAATGTGGGACCCTCAACGTCTCACAACCCTATGGGCCTTCACAGCCTGGTACAGGGATAGCTTTACTTTTTTTTTTTACTTGTTAATCCAAATGACATCTCCCCCCCCCCACCCAAATGAATCTGGATTAATGAGGGTTTACTGTATAAGCAAACTGTTCACTGAAACAATATGCTGTATATGACTGGACAGGATTCTACCAAGAAGTGACTTCTGAACAGAGAACTGATGTGTCAGAACAACACTTTTCAAGTTTCTTTATATGAGCTGATTAGCTCAACAAACATATACAAGTGATAGACATAACTTTGTTGAGGAAGAATACATTCATGCACATTTCCTAACATTCCCACACACACATGCATCAATAGCAGTCTCAATTAAATTTAAATTTAAGATTTGTATGGGGCATGTGGTAGCGTAGTCGGTTGAGGCACTATGCTGCAAGCTGAAAGGTCATGGGTTTGATTCCCAATGAGGTCACTGGATTTTTCAATTGACCTAATCCTCCCAGCTGCACTACAGTCCTTGAGTCAGCTCATCCTCTAACAGAAATGAGTACCAAGAATTTTCCCAGGGGTAAAAGGCAGCCAGCGCATAAGTCTGACAACCTCACCATTAGCTGTGAGCTGACTGCCTAGAAAATGTGGGATCCTCTACATCTCACAACCCTATGGGCCTCCACGGCCTGTTACAGGGATAGCTTTACTTTTTTTTAGGATTTGTATAACCAGTGAAACACCCATTGATAATAATTCAATGTGCGATATCATCATTTGTTATACATAATCTTTCATACTGTTAACTTCCCCTGCTCTCTTTCATATTCCTTTCCCATCCCACGTGTTATAAAAATGATGTGTCCAGGCCATGTTCAACACCAACTCCCACACAAATTGCCAACTGTGAGCTGTCTCATTCTTACAGTACACTACACATTGCATATACACATTAAGATATTATCAGCAGACATGAGATAACATGACTTAGGTCCATAAAACGTGTTAACATACAACAATTCACTGCTATGATAACCTGAAACTTTTGTAATTTCAGAGCGTTCATCTCACAGTTAGATTAGATTTATATACATAGAAGGATAATTAGAATAACTATATTAACCTAGTTTTTGTTTTGTATGGGTGTGACACTTTGGCTCCCCCCCTTAGGGAAGAACATACATTGACATTCTTTGAGAACAGGACAGTGGTGGGAGAATTTGTACCAAGAAAGAAAAAGTGGCGAGAGGATCCAGAAAGTTAAAAAATTGAAAGTTCCAAAATTTGTACTCTTTTGCAAGTATTAGTACTGCAATCAAAGCGAGGAGGATATGATCATGGGACATGTAGCATGCACAGTAGAAATAAGAAAGAAATATAAAATTTAGGCCAAAAAACCTGAAGGGGTAAGACCATTTGAGAGACCCAGTAATAAATAGGACGTTCACTTTTGATATAGATCTTAGAGAAACTGGTTGTCAAAGTGATGAGCGAATTCATCTGGCTCAAGATGGGATCGACTGGCAGGCTCTTGTAAACACAGTAATGAACTTGATCAGCTTCCATAAAAGACAGCAAATTTCTTGACCTAGTGAGTGACTATCACTTCCTCAAGATCGGCTCTGCTCCCTGGAGTTAGTAAATTATATAAGCAACATCTAAACTGGAAGAACGTTACATACGTGTACTTACAGATGTGGTTTATTAACTGCCATCTCTACGCAGCGTTTCACTACATCCAGGTTTTCATGAAATGGAAGACTTGCTAATGATTCATCCAAAACATGAAACAGCTCCCTTTCGAGCTTATCATAATTCTTCAGAAATCTGACCGCAGCTTTCATAGATGCACATATGGCCATAGTACTTTCATATTTCACAGATAAATCCATATGGAACTCCTGAAAGCAAGCACCCAAGTACTTACTATAGCCACATTCTCGTACCTTTATTAAACACATAATGATAGGCACTTCTATGCAACTCTTTATCTCTCTGAACAGTGATTCATTTGGAATCCTACCTAAAACACAAAACAGTGAACTCCATATCTCAATGAACATAAAACATGCTGGAAGTGTCCTTCATGATTCTGAATGCATGACTATGTTTGAGAGATGCTTATGTTTCTGCTGTATTTTCAATTAGGGTATGCTTTCAAATGGATCATCCTAGCATCATAACCTATCTGGTTATATTCAGAGTTTCTGTAGCTGTGAACATGGTAATGAATCTTTGGATTTCTAAAATGACTGAAATTTCTTCTCAATTGTGACTCTGATCCATGGAGCTGGTTCATCAGTGGATACCTATACAAGATACCCATGGATGAACAACAGGATAAAATATGGTCCAGAGCTAAAAGCCACTTAGGACTCTAGGCAACAGGATGGAAAACATTTTGAGTTTTCTGAATATGTCACTGAAAAACATCAGCACTGTTACAATTTCTAGGAACTATGGCAGCCTAGACACTCAGGATTTGCAACGCCAAACTCAGGAACCAGTTGGTAGAGGTTGGGTTGGAAACAAAAGGTGTGGGAAAGGGCTAAAGTAATGGATTAATGTTAAACAACATGTTTCATCATTAATGTCTAATGTTTCAGGAACGTGAGTGTAATTCCTACATGGTGCAATATTATTACATGACTGACAGATGTCAGAAACACTACAGGACTATGTGGTTATGACACCACTGGCTACTGTTCCTTTATTTATGGTTTATTTAACGACAGTGTCAGTAACTAAGACCATGCAGGGCCAAATAGTAGGATTAGTAGTGAATAATGAAGTGGCAAGGATGTCAAAGGAAATGGTTGTGGCCTAAATTGAAGTACTATCATGGAATTAACTGAGGGGTTGAGGACAAACTATGAAGAAAGCAGCAGTCTGAATAGTTGATGTCCCAGCCAAGATTCAAACAGGACAGCTCTTGAATAGAAGTCAGAAGCATTACCAATTCAGCCAACTTGCTCACTTTAGTGAAGATGATTATTATCATTGACTTATTTAGAAAAAACCTATGAAATCCACATTCTTTCCTGAATTTGCTCTGATGATCAACAAATTCTTGGCCATTTTATAGCTAACAAGAAGATCAGTATGTTGCGAACACTATGATGTAGTACCTTCACATACTGCAGAATATCTGCATGCAATGTTGGAAATAAAGTGATCACAGACAGGTCCAGCAAACTTCTTGACAGAGCACTTTTCAACTTTCGGTGCAAGATGCTGTCTGCGATGGAAACCGGAACAATGGCAACTAAGAGTTTGCGAGTCAGTGCCAAGAGCTGCAGGTAAGTTAACTTGTTGGCATCTTCATTAACATCTCCAGATCTGCAGAAAGTAGTGACATGAATCATTGCATATTTACAGTGTTTGCATTAACAGAAATGCATTGTTTACATTCTACACAACACATTAGTAGCTACAACTCACTGCTAATGGAGGAAAAATGGGAATATAATGGGACAGTACATAACCCATTTATAGGTCTCAAAAGAAACTATGAGTCAATTAGAGGGAAGCACCATACATATTTAGTAAATTGCAGTAGCTTCAAATAGGCTTAATGTACCACACCCAGCAAACAGACAAAATGAAGCAGTGGTTAAATCATGATCAGAAGCTGAAAATTTAAGTGCTCAGGAAAAACCCTTCCCTGATGCCAATTTGTCTAAGAGAAATCTCACATGACCTACATTGGCTTCCAGTGTGGACCAACATACTGAGAGAGTGTGTCTCTGACTAATGTTGTATTTTAGCATCCTGTTGCAGTTGGTACTAGAATTTATTTTTGCTTTTGTTTACCATCCACTATGCAATAATGTCAAGATTTAAAATTAAATCCTTCTAGAACCTGTCACTGTAGGGGCACGCGGTAGCATAGTTGGTTGAGGGGCTATGCTACAAGCTGGAAGGTTGTGGGTTCAAGACCCGATGAGGTCATTGGATTTTTTCAATTGACCTAATCCTTCCAGCCGCACTATGGTCCTGGGGTCGACTCTGCCCCTAACAGAAATGAGTACCAGGAATTAATTAAATAACTTTCCTGGGGAGTAAAGCGCGGCCACACATAAGGCTGACAACCTCACCACCATCTGTGAGCCGAATGTCTAGAGAAAATGTGGGGCCCTCAACGTCTCACAGCCCTATGGGCCTTCACGCCCTGTTACAGGGATAGCTTTACTTTTACTTTACTTTTACCCGTCACTGCACTACATGTTTGGCCTAATTGGCCATTATCAGGAGGGCTGAAATTTGAAGAAACTGCTGTGCCTTCAGTGCTACTGTGATTGGTATTTTCCATATATAGTATAATGTTTCTAAATGAAATCAATGTAGCTCCTCCTTCTATGACGCATGTATTGTCTTTTCTTTTTCTTTGTATGCCTGTTGTTTGTCTATTGTGCAGTGTGGATGTGGATGATGTCTCTGACTAGATTCTGCATGCACTGTAACTCACTCACACTTCACTAATTCAATAACAGTAACCTAACTCAGACAAGCGAATCTGCCTTACATATAAATTTACATCATGAAGAGAAGTACTAGGGTAGACACAGTGAAGGAGGAACAGGATTCTCCCGTTAAACAAGCACCTGTGACTCTCCAAGACGTCTCCCAGTAACAACAACACTTGCTGCATGTGCTCTTTGACCTCCAATGCCACAGGATCAGAAGAAGACCACACCCTTGATTTCATGCACATGGCAAGCAGTTTAACAAGTTCTGCTGCCAGAAGTGCAGGGTACTGTCTCTGTGGACCTGCGCTGGGACCAAGGCGAGGCACACAATGAGACAAGCACAGCAAGCAGTATTGTGGTAGACTTAGCTGCTGCAACTGAAGGAGCACAGAATCTTCTGCAGTCTCACTTGAGTAGCCTGCTTCACTAGGCACCTGGCACACACACAGACATTACAATAATTCAGATATGAGGCTCTCACAGCAATGGGTGCCAGGGGTACAGTCTTTTGGGATGTAATACTACATAGCCTGGTAAACTGGTTACATTTTGAACGAACCCACTACCTTCATCTTGAACTATAGATGGAGACTGCAGGTTCCTAAAAAGCACTTACAGGAGTCTTCATAACATCTGCACTCCACACAGCACTTGACCAGTACCTGCATTCCAGCTGTCTCTTGTATGCACACACATTATCAGCAGCTTGTTACATAGAGACTTCTACATGACAAAGCATGAAATATTGTGAACATTTCAATTGAGAATTATATCCACAGTTCTTAACAATAAAGGACTGTCACATATGCCATCATTTTGTGCCAATTTTACCAATTTGAAATCAAGTAATATTATATGTGAGAGAAACTGCAATGTTTAAGGATAAAAGCTGACAGACATATTCAAATATCTGACCTCTTGAAGTTGGCACATATTTGCCGACACATGCTGCTCACCATGTGGAAAATGGTGACAGGATACATGTAGCATGACTGAAAATTTAGATTGTCACATGTATATGTGACTATAGACGTCGTTTGGATTGGTGAAAGGATTTATTGACCACTTATATGCACGACCCAGAAATACAAGCAATTACAGCACCACCACTAATCTCCACAATTCACAAACCACCACAGCACCTGCTAAGCCTTTTCCAGCCTGCTGTGTCTTCACCAGCTGTTCCATGGCAAACGGTTCTAACAGTAGAGATTCTTCAGTTTCACCTGCTCAGGTTCTATTTTCACAGCCTTGCATACAGAACTCTAGACTGACTGACTGACTGACTTTGTCCCTTACTTTTAACATCTCAGCATAGACTGCATAGAAAACACTGTTCTTCTATTGTTGTGTTCATATCCATTGCCGCAGGATGTGATTACCAACCTGTTGCCCAGAAATGGCCGCAGCACAGACCACAGAAAACACTGTTCTTCTATCGCTGTATGTGTATGTTCCATGCGATACCTAGCAATGGTTGCTGTTGACCAACTCACCACTTAGCAATGGGTCTATACGCCGCAATTTATTTCTATCTTTATTGCCAGAATCATATAAAACATATATATGTTTGATTTGTGGTTTTCCCAGTGGCAACTCTGAAGAGTACCAACTCTTGGGATGTATTGCCATGTACACTGCATTGACTAAACGCAAAGTGTTTCAAAGTCAGGGCAGGTTGTCTATTCAATTAGTGCTGTGTTTAAAAGGTGAAGTACAAAATTAAACTTACATTTTGTGGATAACCTTGAAAGACTGTAGAATCCTGGTTACGCTGGGCAGTGTCACTGTTTAAATGCTGGCCCATGACAGGTCTGTCTGTGGTCAAAGTGACAAAAGAGTGGCTCGATTTGTAACTCGGAGATGAAAGGTTGGAGTCAGGTGTACTGCAAATCTAAAGCCAATGCAATATGCAAATAGTCATTCATAACTACAAATAAATTTGTGTGGGGGGAATAAATGAAGCTGCAGGAATGGAATAATTTACGCTTTTATCACTCATACTACATCAGTCCTGTTCAAGCACAAGACTGCAGCACAGACGACATTCAGTTGTAAATACTATGTATATTTTGATATACTGAAACCTCATTTAGAAATTATGAATGATCCAAATATATCTGATATTAAATAATATAAAACTACAATCATCAAATATGACTAAAAATACAATGTTAAAACAGTATGTGTTACAACATACAGAGTGATTCACGTGAGGGAGGCCCAGAATTAATAATTATCGCTCACATAATAATTTATCGATGAAAATTAAACTTGGTGAGTACATATCTCTGTAAGCGGCCTCCGTAGTCTAGGGGTAATGTTCCCACCTCGTGACTCAAGGTATGCGGGTTCAAACCTGGCGGAGGTCGTGGAATTTTTAAGGGCGGAAAAATTCAGGGAACAAGTCCTCTGGGAGGGACTTTAAGCCGTGGGTCCCATGTCGTAGCTTTATGGCACGTAAAAGAACCTCATGTCTCAAAAGTGACCTCTGAGCCAAATTCAGGACATTTCCCACCCAACAGTAGTCTCTAACACCTCTGGTAGATGGGAGAAGCATCGAGATACCGCTGAGCCAGTAGAGGCCGAACTCGCTGGCTGAGTTGGGACTGATGGCACGCACCAGTACCGGTAGGGTATAGAGACTGGTAGAATATCACAGGGGGACGCACAATGGACCAACATCTGGTCTAAGTGCATGGGGAAACCCACCCTCTCCAATAACAACAACAACATATCTCTGTAGATTTGGTGATAACTGGGTGAAAGATGTTAAATTGGTTCTCTTGTGACTGGGGACAGGTGAATAATATGTCACAGCAAGCATTCAGATCCCCAGCAGCACTGCCAGACTTACCACCTGTTTAAGGTTGGCAATTCCAGGATCACTGTAGTAACGAACTCTGACCTGCAGAGCCACTGTCAATCTGCAGAGGCAACACGCCACTGCCTCACACACTCTTCTGTCACTGTCACTGTCACTGTCACTGTCCAGTAAATCCAAAAACATCTGAAACATAAGAATTCCATCTGCAAGTGCCTGCTCTGTCTTGGTCTTTACAAGAGCCAATTATTCTTTGGCCAAATCCATACCTACTGCATGTCATGTCAGCAGTTTTCCCTTATGTTTTGTGATCTGTCCTCTACAAGACTGTAACAGTTCAACTCCAATACAGAAAAATTTGTGCCAGATGGGTTCCACAAATGCTAACAGACGAACACAAACAGTTACAGATTGGTTTAATGGACTGGCAGCCAATTCCCATTATGAGGGGATCGTCAGGCTCATGCAACATCTGGACAAATGCCTGAATCGCAATGGGGTCCACAGAGAAAATAAGCATATGTTGTTGTAGCTAGTAGTGACATTAAAATTATTTGGATGAACAAAGTTTTCTTTTGTTCACAAGAAAACGGTTCTCACTTTAAAAATGACCCTCATAACAGGAGTATCTTGTGAGCATTTACAGCACCACATAAATCAAGCTGAATAAACAGGCAAGCAGAAGACATAAAATATTATTATACAAGCCACACCATTTAAAATGCAACCCAAACTACATTCTTACAGTTTATAGGTCACAGCAATTGGGCTACTGCTTCTTCACCGCTGTATACCTTGCCCCCTGTCAAAGCTATCCAACACCAGACATGTTGCCTGTTGTGTCCCCAAACTTTGTTACCAATTGCAGTACTGTTGTCCTACCTGGTCCTTCCTTGTCAGAGTATGCATCACCCTGTACAACTTCCAGACCAGCCCTTGTGCACAGATGTCCACTACCTACCAGTGTATACATACAATCTGTAGGTATGTTTATGGTCCATCAAGTTTCCAAATTTCACACATTCCATAACATATCACTTACATCTCTCAAATACGGGAATAAACATGCATTACAATTGCTGTCTTTAGGGATGTGATGCCTTGTACTCTGGTAGATAGCACCAACATTTAAGAGAAATCATAAAGATTGTAGCAGCAGGTTTATCTGAAATGTTTGTAACTGCCTACAAAACTACACAGCATGACATTCACTGTAATGCGAACCTCACTCTTCATAAACATATATTTCTCAGAGTTATCAGTAAGACCTCCACCTTAACATCAAATACTGAAAAAATGCAGAATACAGTTTTGAAGCTGTTATAAATAAGCATCTTTCATGAAGATGACAACAGCTGACAATAGAGAGACTATAGATATCAGATCCACCTACCAGAAGAATTAGTACCACCCGCAACCAGCATCTGCATCTGAGGCATAGTTCCCATGCGCCACAGCAGCCCGGGTTCGATCCCGGGGTAACTGTGACTTTCTTAGGTCTCACGTTACAGGTGGTAATAACGCCATCCTCAATGAGGTTGGCCAAACTACAGCTGTGTCTTTGGTGGGGACGCATCATGGACCAGGGATGCGTTGGGACACCTCCTTGTGGTCCTGCTGGGCAATGACAGTCTCGGGGTCTGGATCAGTATGACCTACCAGGACTGGCGGCTAAGTTCCCATAAAAGGCAATGACATTATAACTGGAGCCTCCCATGCGGTGGCATAATGACTCTTGGGTATCACTACGGTGTACCCGGGACAAATGCGGGAGAGCACTCCCATTGGGGTAGCTTCGGCTATTTGAGTTGTCTCTCCCAGAGTACCAATAAGGAGCCAAAAGCCTTATGGCTGAACACTCTAAAACGGTTTGACCAACCCATGTGGAGTGGTGGAAATGGGGGAGCTTATAAGCAACCCCCAGGGGCGACTTTCTCGTGTAGGTTGCCATGGTCGCTACCTCATGACTAACTGGCATCACACTGCCTTTAATCATCTGGGATACCCCTCTCCCCCCAAACACGCACTCTTGGTCCTGGAGGCTTGTGAGGGTTTCATTCAACAGGACCAGACCACCTAAGCCAAGGAGTGAGGCATCGTGCTGAGGGCTGCATGGCACTGGGGTGGTAATTAGCCGGTGTCGTGAACGATCCCCTCAGGGCACCACGCAGCACCCCGTTGTATTTATGCCTTCCAACCGTATGGGGCGCTGCGGGTGGCGACCTTTTAAATCCCCATGACTCATGGAACAAAAATGAAAGGAACCAAACTAAAAACCAATCATAAGGACCTTAAACTGAAGAGGGACCGCCCTGCAAGGGGATCCCTACGAGAAATGCTTCAGCAGGGGGCTGGAAGCTCTGGTGAACCACTAAGGGACCCAGTTCCAACGAGCAAACCTGCTGTTGAACTTTCAGCCAGAGGCAGGGATGAACCAGTGCTTCGAAACCTACCTGAGGTAAAACCAATAACTCCTCTCTTAGGAGTGAGTAGTACTGACATACCACTGCAGGAAGCTAGCACTTCTAGCACATCTGCAGCAGGAGAAGGACTGGGACATCTAGTCTCTGGAGTAGGTGGACCCCATCTAGTGAAAAAGGNAGGCGATACGATCCTCCAAAACGTCGGTTAACACCACATATACACGGCGCCAAATCCCAGAAGACTGCTTTCTTCATATATTTCTCAGAGTTATCAGTAAGAGCTCCACCTTAACATCAAATACTGAAAAAATGCAGAATACAGTTTTGAAGCTGTTATAAATAAGCATCTTTCATGAAGATGACAACAGCTGACAATAGAGAGACTATAGATATCAGATCCACCTACCAGAAGAATTAGTACCACCTGCAACCAGCATCTGCATCTGAGGCATAGTTCCCATGCGCCACGGCAGCCCGGGTTCGATCCCGGGGTAACTGTGACTTTCTTAGGTCACACGTTACAGGTGGTAATGACGCCATCCTCAATGAGGTTGGCCAAACTACAGCTGTGTCTTTGGTGGGGACACATCATGGACCAGGGATGCGTTGGGACACCTCCTTGTGGTCCCACTGGGCAATGACAGTTTCGGGGTCTGGATCAGTATGACCTACCAGGACTGGCGGCTAAGTTCCCATAAAAGGCAATGGCATTATAATTGGAGCCTCCAACGTGGTGGCATAATGACTCTTGGGTATCACTACGGTGTACCCAGGACAATTGCGGGAGAGCACTCCCACTGGGGTAGCTTCAGCTATTTGAGTTGTCTCTCCCAGAGTACCGATAAGGAGCTGCAAGCCTTAGGGCTGAACACTCTAAAACGGTTTGACCAACCCATGTGGAGGGGTGGAAATGGGGGAGCTTATAAGCAACCCCCAGGGGCGACTTTCTCGTGTAGGTTGCCATGGTCGCAACCTCATGACTAACTGGCGTCACACTGCCTTTAATCATCTGGGATACCCCTCTCACCCTAAACACGCACTCTTGGTCCTGGAGGCTTGTGAGGGTTTCATTCAACAGGACCAGACCACCTAAGCCAAGGAGTGAGGCATCGTGCTGAGGGCTGCATGGCACTGGGGTAGTAATTAGCCGGTGTCGTGAACGATCCCCTCAGGGCACCATGCAGCACCCCGTTGTATTTATGCCTTCCACCCGTATGGGGCGCTGCGGGTGGCGACCTTTTAAATCCCCATGACTCATGGAACAAAAATGAAAGGAACCAAACTAAAAACCAATCATAAGGACCTTAAACTGAAGAGGGACCACCCTGCAAGGGGATCCCTACGAGAAATGCTTCAGCAGGGGGCTGGAAGCT